GGGATCCACTAAGACCAAAGTTTTATCTTTTATGACCGGAATGGCCTGATAAGATAGTTCGATCTCAAAATCATCATGATTGTCCGTATGCTTTCTGAAAGCAGCAAAAAAAGCGCTCTCAGCACGGTCAAAAACATTCAAAAATCCATGATGCATAGGCAAACCTGCTCTAAGCACCGATGCTACCACCAATTGTTCCGAAATAATGAAACTGCTTTTGGTACCCAAAACCGTTAAAGTATCAAGGGATTGATAGGCTAAAGTCTTACTGATTTCATAAGCCATGATCTCCCCAATTCGCTCAATATTTTTTCTAAACCGCATACTGTCCTTCTGAATCTCCAACGACCTTATTTCGGCTAAATAATGGAGTAAAACACTATTATTTTGGGAAAGATGATGTACCTGCATATTGATTTCTATTTTTCCTCGCAAATATAGCGCTTAATGGTAAAATATTTCAATTTACCTTGTACAATCGGTTATTGGGGTAATATTAAGCTTCATATGGATTAATTTTATAGTTGTTTGGCGTGCCCCAAAACCGGCTCTAAGCTGATGTGAAAATTTTGTGGAGTAGTAAGCCGGTTTTGGGTCGGGCTATCCGCTGCAATAGTTATAAAAAATCGCCTATTTGCCTGATTACTAACGCTTTGTGTTTTCGTTGAGGCGATTTTTTATAGCTATTTCCGCTGCTATCCCTCACGCGGTTCGTAGTGGATTAAAAATTCTAATCAATCCTGATGCGGCTCGATTGGAGCGAAAATATCAACACAGAACCCCTGCTATGGCTCAAACTCTGATTGATAAACCCCTGACAGTCAAAGAACGCTTGTTTATTAGACCTCAAATTATACCATAAAATAATCGCTCGGCTCCCTGCTGCTCATAAGGTGCTAAAACTCAAAAATAAATCCAATATTAGGAATAAGAGCGCCTTCATCGTCGCCGAGCACTATCGGTATGCCATTGGCAGAATCTGTAGCCAATGGCTGACCATCGGTGGTAGCAAATCCGGTGTTGTCAGCATTGCGTTTCAAGGTAAATGCAGGGTATTGAGGCGACACAGAAGCTAACACATTTACTAAGTCAACATAGAGATTGAAAGTGGTGCGCTTAAAATTCCATTTTTTATCCAAGCGAACATCCAATTGACCTGCGCCTGCCAATCGAACTTGATTGAAGCGGCTATTGTCGAGCACGCCTCGACCGGAAAACACATAATTGCGCTGTGAAGCCTCCAAATCAAGGGGGGTGTAGGGCACTCCGCCTTGATAGCGATACTTGACGCCAAGCTCCCAATTGCGACGAAACTTGTACCCGCCGGTGAGGGAAACCAAGTGGCGATTATCCCAAGTGGAAGCGACAAATTTGCCATCTGTGCCGGAAAACTCAGACCAAAAAAGCGTATAGGAACCCGTAAAAAAGAAGCTGCGCCATAGTTTTTGCTGAAAAAACAACTCCGCGCCATAACTTCGTCCTTCACCGATGCCATTCACTGCCTCATTGCCAATCACCCCAAAGTCGGCTCCGAGGTTGGCGAGCGATATGCCGTTACGCTCCGAAACCGGATAATCACCATAGACTTTGTAGAAACCCTCGAGCGTCACGCGCGTGGATTTGCCCGGCAAGTACTCCAACCCTGCCACAAAATGGTCGGAGCGGATGTAAGGCATATCGCGGTTCACCAGCGAATTGTTGTTATCTCGGAAACCAAGCACAGTATATTGCGGTATTTTGTAGTAGCGCCCTACTGAAGCATTGACCTTCCACTGCTCGGCAAAGGCGTAGGAAGCACTTGCGCGGGGACTAAGGGTGCGCCAAAAATCGTTGCCAGTGTCGGTGAAGGTGTTTCCGTCTGTGCGCAAACCCACTGAAAGTGCCAATCGGTCGTTGAGCAGCGTGCGATTGAGCTGACCAAAAAGTCCATATTTACCGAAAGCGATATCGGTAGCAAAAGCGGAAGTGATGGCAGATTGTATGATGTTGCCGGCAGCATCGCGCACCTCCGGGCGTATGCGCGCCAAGGTGTTGTTGTTGTATTTTACGTGTTGCGCGACGGCACCATAGCTCAATTTCCAGCTATTCCAATAGGTATTGTAGTCAAAACGGAGCTTATTCTCTATCTCCTGACTATTCACGCCGAGGGTGCGCTTAGTTTCATCGCTTTGCTTGCCATCAAAATTGTCGGTAAATTGGTCGAGCCGATTATCGAACATATTCCTACTAAAAGTCAGGTTCCAGAATCCATTGTCAGTCAGGCGTTTGAGCGCAAAGCCTTGCGTGTAGTTCCACTGCTTGATGCTTGGCGCGGAAGACAACACATATAGATTTTCGGGCGTTGCATCCTTGGGCACGGCAAACGAGAAGTCGTCAATAGCACCTAGCCCAATACTGGTCAAGGTGGTTTTTGCGTCAAGTTTGTGCGTGATTTTGTATTGAAAATCCCAGTAATTGGGTCTGATGGGTAAATCTATCAATTGAAACAAAAACTGTAGGTAAGAGCGACGAGCAGAAGCCAAAAAAGTGGTTTTATTGCCCAGTGGACCTTCGGTAGTCAAGGCGGCCTCGCTACTGCTCAACCTGAAATTGCCCTGCACCCGATTGGGATTGCCATCGCGCTGTTTGAACTGCAGCACACCCGAAAGCGGATTGTCGTACTTCGCCGCGAAGGCGGAAGTAGCCAAAGTGACATCTTCGATGAAGGAAACGTTGAGCATACCTACCGGACCACCTGCCGAGCCTTGGGTACTGAAGTGATTGAGCACAGGTATCTCTACGCCATCGAGGTAATAGACGTTCTCGGACGGGCCGCCACCGCGTATGATGAGGTCGTTGCGAAAGCCACCACCGCCAGGAGTGCCGCCCACACCGGGGAGTACATTGACCACTTTGGAGATGTCAAAATTGCCGCCGGGATTGCTTTTTATTTCTTCCACGCTCAGGTTTTGCACCGAGAGCGGCGTTTCCGCATTGGCTATTTTGATGCTTTTGCGTACCTCTACGACCACTTCTGCGAGTTCGTTGCCGGATTTACTGGGCTGCATGTCGAGGTTAAAAGTCTGCTCATTGCCCACTGTCACCACCACATTGTAACGTGTAAGCGGTTCATAGCCAAGCGATTGCGCTGTGAGGTTGTAGGTTTTGGGCGGTATGCCTTGTATGCGAAATTTTCCATCAATGTCGGTGGCTGCCCCTAGGGAGGTGCCCTCTAGCCGCACAGTAGCTCCTATCAGCACCTCTTGGGTCTGTATATCACGGAGTGTACCACTGATGACTCCGTTCTGGGCGGCTATGGTAAAGGGCAGAAATAGGCAAAAGAGTAAGCGTAAAAGGTTGTTAGATTGTTTCATAAAAGCAGTTTTGCTGTGTGATGTCAAGTATGGGAATGAAACAGTCTTGTTTGGTTTGTGTTCATGGTGGGGGGTGGGAAATGTGTTGTGGTGTTGGCTTTGCGAAATAGCCCAATTTATGAGGCTTGGTTTCATATCAAAACGTTTGGTACTTTTTGGGTTTTCCACTTTGCGGGTGATGGGAAAACGGATGAAACGGATTTATGCGGGTTAGAACGGATTTTTTCTTTGCTCCGCAAAGTGATTAGAACGAATTTCCTCTTTGCACGTAATTGATTTTGACGGATATTTCGCTTGCGCGAAATATTGGATTGGAACAGATTTGTGTTGACAGTGAAGGATTTAGATTAGTTACTCCTCCGCAACCTCAAAAATATCGGAATCAGGTACTCTATCCAAGATAGTCCCTACCGGATAGCCCAAGTAGGGAATAATCGCTGGGTCATAATTTGCAATGGTATTCACCTCATAAATCATGATATTATCAGGATTATCTACATATTCTTGGCTTTCTAAGCCGGACATAAAAACCCAGCCGCTATCATTACTATAAGTCGGCTCGTCGCGTATCATTACGCCAACTTTGTTGCCTTCGACTGTTATACTGTCGGTGGCATAGCAGCCGCCCATGGGTGGAACTAGATTTTTTAGTTCTTCTTTTGGGAGTTTAAATTGTTTTTCCAAATCTTTCTATTTTCAAAATGAAACGAGGTATATAATTTTTTATAGTTGAATCTTACTATTTTTCTGACCTCATCACCCTCTTCAATCTGTTATCCAAACAATTACTAGCCGAAATAGCTTTTGCAAATATAGGCTCTATTTTATTCCTATGGAAATAATCTTTCAAAGGCAAGGTGTAGCCATTATCTCCAAAACCGATAAAATCAGGCTCATCATCATCGCCGATAAAAATAATATCATAGGCATAGTTACATCTTTTATCTTCGACTGCTATACCATTTTCAGGTCTGAAAAATACGCCAACAGTAAAGGTATCAGTACGGATAATTGGCCCTATCGTTTCTACAGGTAAGCATAAATAGCTAACATTGCTTTGTAGGGTATCCACTTTTCGGTTTTCGATTTTCAGTACCGCGGTTGAACAGCCTGCATATATTTTATACATGGCTAGAATTGCTGTGTCGGTTCTGATTTCAGTTTTAGTCTTAATAGGAGCTACTTTTTCTTCATTGCAACTATTTAAAAGGAACAACAAAAATCCAAGTAATAAAGGAAAGAAAGCAGATAATGACATCTTTGAGTTTTCATTAATAACGCCATACAGCCTAAGGATATTTCCCAGCATTTTGCGTGAGGGATAGAAGCGGAAATAGCCAAAAAGATAAGAGCCTTGTGCAGCGCAGCCGTTAGGCAAGGTACACAAGGCGCTTCTCTTTTTGGCTATTGTAGCGTATAGCCCGACCCCAAAACCGCCTTCCGATCAGCCGAAATTGCGACGTTGGCTTTGGGCGGTTTTTGGGGGCACGCCACAATTATAATGGTTAATGGTTAATGGTTAATGGTTAATGGTTAATGGTTAATGGTTAATGGTTAATGGTTAAATTGCTCATTATCAATGTATTATGAAAATATTTACTACACTTTCTTCATTAATAATTAATAATTAACCATTAACCATTAGATTTACATCATCCCTTCCATGCCGCCGCCGCCGTGCATGTGTGGTGCGCCGCCTGCATCTTTCTTAGGCTTTTCGCTGATAACGCACTCGGTGGTGAGTATCATACCTGCTATAGATGCTGCGTTTTCGAGCGCTACACGTGTCACTTTAGTTGGGTCAATGATACCTGCTTTTTTCATGTCTTCGTACTTGTCGGTACGAGCGTTGTAGCCATAAGAACCGGTACCATTGAGGACGCGCTGAAGCACTACGGAACCTTCGGCTCCGGCGTTTTCCGCGATGACACGCACAGGTGCTTCCAATGACTTTCTTACGATCTGGATACCGATGTTTTCGTCTTCGTTGACACCTTTAAGGTTGCGAAGTGCGCTGATGCTGCGTGCAAGCGCTACTCCACCGCCTGCTACGATACCTTCTTCGATGGCAGCGCGTGTAGCGTGAAGTGCGTCGTCAACGCGGTCTTTTTTCTCCTTCATTTCTACTTCGGTAGGCGCACCTACGTAAAGTACTGCTACCCCACCGGCAAGTTTGGCAAGGCGCTCTTGAAGTTTTTCTTTGTCATAGTCAGAGGTAGTGGTCTCTATCTGCTGCTTGATTTGGTTGATGCGCGATTTGATGTCTTCGGCATTGCCTTTACCGCCTACGATGGTGGTATTGTCTTTGTCAACCGTGATTTTTTCGCAAGTACCAAGCTCTGCTACGGTCGTATTTTCAAGTTTGTATCCTTTTTCTTCGCTGATAACGGTTCCGCCTGTCAAAATGGCAATATCTTCCAACATTGCCTTACGGCGATCGCCAAAGCCGGGAGCTTTTACAGCAACTACCTTAAGTCCTGCGCGAAGACGGTTAACTACGAGTACGCCAAGTGCCTGAGATTCAACATCTTCTGCAATGATAAGAAGTGGGCGACCAGTTTGAAGTACTTTTTCTAATGCAGGTACGAATTCTGCCATATTGCCGATTTTCTTGTCGGTGATGAGCAACAATGGGTTTTCGTATTCTGCAACCATGCCTTCTGCATCGGTGATGAAGTAAGGGCTAAGGTAACCGCGGTCAAACTGCATACCAATCACTTCGTCCACGTAGGTATCAGTACCTTTGGCTTCTTCTACTGTGATAACGCCATCTTTGCTTACGCGCTTCATTGCGTCAGCGATGAGGGTACCGATGGTATCGTCGTTATTGGCAGAAATGGCTGCCACTTGTTGTATTTTGCTGAAATCGTCGCCGATAAGTTCGGTTTGATCTTTAAGGTTTTTGACTACGATGCGTACGGCTTTGTCGATACCGCGCTTGAGATCCATTGGATTGGCACCGGCAGATACGTTTTTAAGACCTGCAGTTACCATAGCTTGGGCAAGCACAGTAGCTGTTGTAGTACCGTCTCCGGCTATATCGGCAGTCTTACTGGCTACTTCCTTCACCATCTGAGCGCCCATGTTTTCGATTGCGTCTTCTAGTTCAACTTCTTTGGCTACAGTCACACCGTCTTTGGTGATGGCAGGAGCGCCATACGCCTTTTGGATAACTACGTTGCGACCTTTGGGTCCGAGTGTTACTTTTACAGCGTTGGCTAAAGCATCCACGCCATTTTTGAGTTTTTCGCGTGCTTCGTTGTTGAAATTAATCTGTTTTGCAGACATAATAATTACTTATTTTGTATAATATTGTTAATTAATATATGATTTATTCATAGGTAGTTATATCAGGAAAGTTGATTTTGGTGGTTTATGAGCAACTTACAGGATGCAAAGAATATCATCTTCGCGCATGATGAGGTAATCGGTACCTTCAAAAGAAATCTCTTGTCCGGAGTATTTGCCGTATAATACAGCATCACCTTTTTTTACGGTCATAGTGTGATCTTTTTTGCCTGGACCTACAGCAACTACCTCGCCACGAAGTGGTTTTTCTTTTACGGTATCAGGTATGATGATTCCGCCTTTAGTTTTTTCTTCTGCCGGTGCTGGTTTGATAATTACTCTATCTGCGATTGGCTTCATAGTACTAGTAAATTTATTTTATAAGTTATTGATGAATGTGAATAATAATTTTGTCGGAGTTTGGTATGCTCTCGATAGTTTGAAAACATCACTTATTATGCCATTTGGATTTTACTGCCAATTTTGCAGTTTTTGGCAGAGAGTGGTAGCAAATTTGTCATAGGTTATGCCACAAATTGCACTAGTTGGGGTTCGCTGCGTGTATTTTTTGCCACGAATAGCACGAATTTTCACGAATCTGGGGTTCGCTTCGCTCATTTTTTTTGCCACGAATTGCACGAATTTTCACGAATCTGGAGTTCAACTTGAAAAAAAAATGCAGGTACTAGATGGCTGGCAGCGGCGGTCGATCGTGTGCTGCCCAGAGAAGAGGGACTTTTCTTCGCTTCCTTCATTTTGTGAGTTTCTCATTTCCAAATAGAACTGTGCATGCACGATCGTCAGCGATGAGGGTACCGATGGTATCGTCGTTATTGGCAGAAATGGCTGCCACTTGTTGTATTTTGCTGAAATCGTCGCCGATAAGTTCGCTTCGCTCATTTTTTTTGCCACGAATTGCACGAATTTTCACGAATCTGGGGTTCGCTTCGCTCATTGGGGTTCGCTTCGCTCAATTTTTGCCACGAATAGCACGAATTTTCACGAATCTGGAGTTCGCTTCGCTCATTGGGGTTCGCTTCGCTCATTTTTTGCTACGAATAGCACGAATTTTCACGAATCTGGAGTTCGCTTCGCTCATTGGGGTTCGCTTCGCTCATTTTTTGCCACGAATCTCACGAATTTTCACGAATCTGGAGTTCGCTTCGCTCATTGGGGTTCGCTTCGCTCATTTTTTCACTTCATATTCTATGTGTTCTATGTGCCTATGTGTTTAACCACCTGCGGATAAAACCGCCCAAATGCATCCAAAATCTCCTGATTATCCTCAAAAACTAACGATAGAATACCCTCCTGATCAAGTGTAATGGGCAATCGCTCCTGAAAACGCTTCAACACATAAGCGAAACCTTCGCGATGTCCATACTGACACAGCCAATTGTGGGCTATCATCTTTGGCGTAGAGATACGTAATCGCTCCGGAAACACCTGTAAATGATTACTCAACACCGGATATATGCCTTGCGCAAAGTCAGGGAGCGTCACTTCGTAGTAATTATGCCAAGTACGTGACAACAAGGCATCACCCACAATATCAGCTATTGGTCCGGCATATTTACCGGCAAAAGGTCGCATAGCTTGGATAATTTCCCTGTATTCAGGGTGGGTATCGGCATAATAATCAATAGACCGGTGCAACAAGATACCTCGTTGCACCGGCTCCGGATACAATTGCCAAGCATTGCCCTTGACATAATCGCCAATGTAATTGCCTATAATGACCGAATGGTCACTGCCAGATAAGGCTAGGTGTGCTAGATGATTCATCACTCTTTTATCCCTTCCAAATCCAAGAAAAAAGCATAATCACGCGCCACTTCCTTCAAGCGTTTGAAGCGTCCGCTAGAGCCGCCGTGACCGGTGTTCATATTGGTGTATAGATACAACTTGTTATCACCGGTTTTGAGTTCGCGAAGCTTGGCGACCCATTTTGCAGGCTCGAAATACTGCACCTGACTATCATGTAAACCAGTGGTTATCAGCATATTGGGATATGAAACTGCCTTGATATTATCGTAAGGCGAGTAGCTCTTCATGTAATGGTATGAGTCGGCATTTTTCGGATTACCCCACTCGTCAAATTCGCTGGTGGTCAACGGAATACTTTCATCCAACATCGTAGTCACCACATCCACGAAAGGCACTGCGGCGATAACACCATTCCAAAGCGTAGGATTGAGGTTGATAACAGCGCCCATCAGCAAACCGCCGGCGCTGCCGCCATTGGCATACAGATGCTTCGATGAAGTATATTTATTGGCGACCAACCACTCCCCACAGCTTACAAAATCGGTAAATGTGTTTATTTTTTTGAACATTTTGCCGTCTTCATACCACTGTCTGCCCATTTCCTGACCACCGCGTATGTGGGCTATCGCAAAGGCAAATCCTCTATCCAACAGACTCAAACGCGCGCTGCTAAACGATGGCTCCATACTATTGCCATACGAACCATAACCATACAGCAATACGGGCTTAGTGCCATCTTTCCTGAATCCTTTTTTATACACGATACTCATCGGTACCAACGTGCCATCCGCGGCTTTCACCTGCACACGCTCCGTGGCATAATCACTTTTATTGAAAGTGCCTAAAACCTGCTGTTCTTTCAGCAATTTACGCTCGCCGGTAGCCATATTTATCTCAAAAATACTAGGTGGCGTAGTCATACTCTGATAGCTAAAACGGATGGTTTGGGTATTAAACTCCGGATTAAAACCCGGATATACCACATATGCCTGTTCCTCAAAAGGTACATAGTTGGTCTTTTTGTCATCATGACGTATGAACTTCAGCTGCGTAAGTCCACTCACGCGCTCGCTCAACACCATATAATCTGAAAACACATCCATGCCTTGTATTAAGACATCTTTGCTATGCGGAATCACCTCTTTCCAGCTTGTTTTAGCTGTTTCGCTCAGGTTTGGCGTCTCCATCAACCTAAAATTGAGCGCATCCCAATTGGTGCGCACAAAAAACTTATCCTTAAAATGCTCCACATCATACAAAAAGTTCTTCTCACGCTCATGGAACACCTTAAACGCTCCATTTGGCGTATTCGCATCCAACAATCGCACCTCACTGCTCAAAGTACTATAAGATACAATGGTAATAAATGCCTCCGATTTGGTCTTATCCACCCCTACGCTGTACGTTTCGTCTTGCTCAAAATACACCTCCACATCATCCTTTGGGTTGGTGCCGATGGTATGACGCATGATTTTCTCGCTGCGCAAAGTCACCGGATTGCGCACCGTATAAAACACCGTTTTATTATCATTTGCCCAAGTCACACCGCCCGTAGTCATCGGTATTACATCTTCATAATGCTTCCCGGTCACCAAATTTTTGAAATAAACGTCATAATTTCTACGGCTCAACGTATCCACACTATAAGCAGCTATAGTATTATCTTTGCTAATATTAAGTCCGCCGAAGCCATAATAGTCATGCCCCTCCGCCATCGCATTCACATCAGCGAGCACCTCCACCGGTGCATCCATAGTACCCTTCCGGCGCGTGTAGGTAGCATACTCTTTTCCTTCCTCTGTCCTCGTAATATACCAATAACCATTATGGAAATACGGCACACTTTCGTCCGTTTGCTTTATGCGACCCATGATTTCCTTGAAAAGCTTATCCTGAAAATCCTTAGTATGCGACATTCCCTCCTCAAAATACTTGTTTTCTTGCGTGAGATAATCCACGACCTTTGAGCTATCGGCGCCTTTCAGCCAAAACTCATTGAGCCAATAATAATTATCCACACGCGTATCGCCATGGATAGTCATGATTTTAGGTTTTTTCTCACAGATAGGTGGTCGCATTTGAGCCATAATCGGTACAATTAACAATAGATTAAGTGTAAAAAACAGATTGATTCGTTTCATACTATTTGTTATTAAGTAAATAAATGCAAAGCTAATGAATAGGTTCGATATAATAACCTTGATTTAGACCAACACCGCATTTGGTAAGACAATAATACCTATTTAGGCAACAATTTCGACCATATTCACCTTTCAAAATCATCTTAGATCGCATGATTTGATTGTTCCCAACCAAATCATGCGGGCGGACGAATTAAAAATAATTGTCAATTTTCAATTATTCAGGGCAGCCGCCTACCCCCAAGCAAATACGCTTAGTTGCTCAAGTAAAAAAATTAGTATCTTCGTTTTTAATCGGACGTAGGGGGTAGTCGCCGGGCTATCCGTTGCAATAGCCCTTTTTGTGCCTTTTTGGGCTTCGCGCTTGGGCAATAGGAGTAGAGAGGTGGCTCTGCAACGTCTCAGTTGTGTGGGTAATTTTGAAAAAAAGGCACAAAAAGGGCTATTTCCACTACTATCCCTGCTGCTTATGGCTACGATTTACCCTCAACCACCCTATTACTCCGTGCAATGATCCTGTGCACCCGCGATAGGGATAGAAGTGGATGCCGATACAAAAAGCACCTTGATCGAATACCAATGCACCGACATAAACCCAAGAGGCGTTTTTTGTATCGGCAGGAACGTATAGCCCGGCTCCGCAAAACAGCCTTGACGAACGGCTTTGGTTGGCTCTTACACCAAGATACTTACGCACTTTCAAGCGAAGCTCAAAAACCCAAGCAGAGGCTGTTTTTCGGAGATCGCCATGATTTTGAGTAATGAATTATGAGTGTGGAAACATGAATGTTAGATTGTGGTATATAATTTGGTCAAACAATTGAACGTTTGCATAAATAATTGTTGCCTTTATGGTAGTTTCTTTGTGGTTAACTACCCTCGATGAACTTTTAATCTCTACTTACTATTGAGAACGACGATATTTTTCTTTGGTTTGCTCGTCTTGTCAGGCATGGCGGGCAGTGGGTGCAAGACGGCACGCGCACGAAAACTGACTGCATGGTACAACAACCCGCAGGTGGTATTCCATGCCACTTCGCAGGGATTGCATACCAACAAAGCGGAGATTTCCTACACTGGTTGTGGCGGTTTTTTCATTGAATATGAAGGCGAAACAGTGGCACTTGATCCTTTTTTTACGTATAGGAGCATGTGGAGTGCGGCGGTGAATCAGAACGAAACAGATTCGGCTTTGGTGCACGATTTTTATGTCAATACATTTGGCACTCCTCAGGATGAGTCAGGTAAAATCACTTCCGTATTGATGTCGCATAGCCATTACGACCACTTGGGCGACTTGCCATATCAGCTACGCAATCACCTGAATACCAAGCAAATAAAGATTTACGGAAGCGGTACTACCTGTAATATTTTGCGATCGTTTCCGGCGTTGGTGCGCGACACTGCAAGCCAATATATCAATCTGGAGCATTATCTTGACAAGGAGTCTCAAGTCCAAAGAAAAGCAACAGATAGTGATTTGTCGCCGTTTTTTTATACGCCCAACCGTAAGATGCGTTTTGCGGCGATACCTTCCGATCATGCCGGACATTTTTGTATCGGTGTGCCCGTGAAAATACCTTTTATTGGTGGCAATAAAAAGAAGCCAAGCAAAAAACCACCGTCAATGGCAATGGACTACAAAGAAGGACAGAATTACAATTTTGTGATTGACCTGCTGAATGATGATGGCAAGCCGATATTTCGTATTTTCTCTCAAGCCGGAGCAGCCTGTAATGCCGGGGTGGGCTACCCTCCGATGCGCCTGCGCGAGGAGAAAAATTATGATCTCCTTTTGTTGTGCGGCGCAAGTTATGGTCTGGCAAAGCATTACCCGGCGGGTATCTTAGCACAAACTCGCCCCGATGCGGTGTTCTTGGCACATTGGGAGAATTTTTTCAAATCTCAAAGAAAAATACGCCAAAAAGCAGAAGTCGTACCGAATACGAACATCCCCAAACTGATGAATTTGCTAGAGCAATACAAGCAAGCTCATGGTTTTCCAAAGAAAATACTTTTGGAGCAACCTTGTGCTCGGAAGATAGTTTTCAAATTTTAAATTGAAAATTAATCGAATATTAATTTTCTGTACATATATTTGTGGGACAAATAATTATGCAGGCATTTTGTAGGGAAGTTTGTAATAAATACATTATTCCTAAGCACTTTAATAAATCACTGTCTTCGTTATGTTCCCATTTGAAAAAATACTCAATTATGTATCAAATGAGCAATGTGCCCTAGTCATAGGTCCCGAAATCATGCATTTCGAAGGAAAGCCTATGAACATATACTTGCGGGAAAAGGTGTATAAACAATACCAATCTGATGTAACGCACTACTATAGCAATGATGGGCTTTTTTTGTTTCCGCCGGATGATGTTTCCGTAAAGTCAGATGTGGCACAAGCCCTCAAAAATGAGTGCCTCAAGCTGCCAAACACGCCGGGATATGATGAAGAATTACTTAAAACCATAGCGAAACTACCTTTTCACCTGATTATTTCTGTCAACCCGGATACATTTCTATCTGATACCTTCTATAAATACGGGATAAAACACCGGTTTGCCTATTATCGCCATGGAGAAAGACCAAGTGAGGATGTGGCAGTACCCACCTTAGAGGAGCCCTTGATTTACAACCTGGTAGGCAGTATCATTGAAGATGAAAGTCTGGTGTTAGACTATGAGGATTTGTTTTCCCTCATCGGTTCATCTATGGGTGCGTCTGGATTGCCGGAAGGATTACGGACTTCATTGAGCAAGATACGTACGTTCATTTTTATCGGTTTTTCCTTTGAAAAATGGTATGCTCAGATGTTCATCAGGATAATAAGTGGTAAGGCAGGTTATAGAAAATATGCAGGTCCACACAAGGTGAATGACGATACGCGTACTTTTTTAGCCAATCAATTTAAGATTGATTTTTGGGATATAAAAAGTGGTGAATTTTGGACCAAAGTGTTGGATTCGTCCACGACATTCGTAGATCCTAATCCGGCAAGAGCCAACCAATCCTTTTTGCGCACGCTTGCTGCCGACCCGCTCAAAGCTGAAGAATTGAGCATTATTCGCGAAATACGCAACGGTCAGTACTTAAAAGCTTTGGGTATTCTTTTGGCTTATGCTAAAGGCAGTGATTTTGAAAATGAGGTGATACAGCTTAGCGGAAAATTCAACAATACCATAGACAGTCAAAGCAAAATGGATAGCCGCGACTTTATGACAGTCGTCAACCAAATAGCCGATGCCATAGTACAAATAGCTCGACAAATAGCAAAATCGAAAACATGAGTACCACAAATGAATATCGCTATCCGGGCGTAAAGCCATTTGAAGCTGCTGATGCCCAATTGTTTTTTGGTCGCGACCGCGATAAAACAGACCTGTATGATCTCATCTGTAGGGAACCTTTGGCAGTGCTATTCGCCAAGTCGGGCTATGGAAAATCATCTTTGCTCAAGGCAGGATTAATACCCGACCTCACCAACAAGCCTACCTCCAGACTCAACCCGGATACCGGCGAAGATGAAATAGTACCGAATTGCCCCATTTATATTCGATTGCAACTCTATCAGCCGGGCAGTCCTCACACGCCCTGTTCGGTGGTGATTAATCGTTTTCGGGAGCATTTTAAAGAAGCAGAGGACAATGGCGAGGTGGCAGATTTTTTGAAATCAGCCGGGATTTCTGAATCGTTTTGGGGTGTTTTTAAAACCAATAAACAAGCAAAAAGCCATCGGATATTTCTGATTTTCGACCAATTTGAAGAGTTTTTCTCTTATCCCTTGGATCAGCAAATCCAATTCAAGAAAGAATTAGCAGAATTACTCTACACCATCATTCCACAGTCTGTACGCGACAAGATGGTCAATCTGGATCGCGCTGCTAAAAAGCAACTTCACCAACCCTTGGAAGTACATGCGCTGTTGACCATTCGCTCTGACCGAATGCATTTATTCAATAGCATGCGCGACGAACTGCCGGCCATCCTTCATGCCAGATACGAGCTGCAGGCACTCAATGCCGTGCAAGCCACCGATGCTATTCTTAAGCCTGCTGCCTTGGAGGGCGCGAACTTCGCCTTGAAACAACCTTTCAAATACGAAGAAGGAGCGCTAGGAAAAATACTCTCTGAACTCAGCAAGCCTACTGCAGCCTCTCAATTCAATCCGGATATTACGCATTTGATAGAGACTTTCCAATTGCAGATGGTCTGCCAAACCATCGAACAACATCTCCTAAAAAAAACGAAGCAAAACAAAGGCGTGCAACCGTTGGTGGTGACCGAAGCTGACTTGCCCGATTTCAGCCAAATATATGAAAAATATTACGCTGAGAAAATGAGTGACCTACCCGCTGACACGCGCGAAGCAGCACAAACCCTTTTGGAGGAGGAATTGGTACTTGGCAACGACCTCAACGAAATGCGTCGCGTCAGTATAGACAAGGATGTGCTGATGGAAGCGATGGAAGAAAAACATGGGATGCAAATAGATCAGCCTTTGTTGGATATGCTGGAAAACAAATTCATGCTGCGCCGTGAAAACCTCGGCGGACGCGTGCTTTATGAGATAAGCCATGATGTTTTGCTACAGCCAGTAGGACGTTCGCGTATAGCTATGCGAAAACTTAAACTGAAGCAAAAAGAGGAAGAGGAAGCAGCAGCAAGGAGAATTGAGAACGAAAAGCGCGCTGTAGAAGCAGAACAAAAATTGGATGAAGAGCGCGCCAAACGTATAGAATCTGACCGTAGGAGACAAAAATTTATGTGGTTGTCCATTCTGTCGGTAACCGGATTGTTGTCAGCACTAATATTTGGGGTATATGCCATGAAACAAAAGGCGGATGCTGATATTGCTAAGGAAGAAGCCTTGACGCAAAAGGAAAACGCTATAAATT